AAAAACATTTAAAAAATCCCTCCGATTAAACTGACCTTTGCATTAAAACACCATGTCACAATCCCGTCTCTTCGCAGGAGAAACCTCACCAGGGAATCTCAACTGATCAAGAAGTAATGTGGATGTATGCCTTCATATATTCTGCAACTTGCATATTTCCTGGTGATATTCGTTATTTGTTCAACAAATAACGAATATCACTAGAAAATATGTAATGCATTTACACCAAGCCCGTCTCTTCGCAGGAGAAACCTCACTAGGGAATCTCAACTGATCAAGAAGTAATGTGGGTGTATGCCCTGATATATTCTGCAAACAAATAACGAATATCACCCGGGAAATGTTTATTGAAGTAGTGCCTTAACACCAAGCGCGTGAGAGCTGTGATACTTTCCGGAAATCAAATATTCAAGGGGAGGAATTATTAAAGGCGGAGAAAAATTTGAGTGAGACTGCAATCGATACAAGAGCATACCTCTTCGCTCCAAGGAATAGCTTCTTAGTTCTAGTAAAAGGAATTCACACGGTTCACTGCACCGGAAAAGTTAGCGGATCAGTAATGTAAATGAACTTTACAGGAATAATTCATTATTATTTCTCTCTCTCTTTGCTTGGCTCTTTTAAATTCAACGGTGTAGAATGAATTTCTAAAGCAAAATTAGAACTAGAGCAGTGCATCGAGTATCATGAGTCAAGCGCAAATTATCCTGGAAGTGTTATTACACTGTTTATTTATAAATTTAATGAAGATAATATCTCACTGAGGGATAATAACACCCGAGTGGCCTTACGAAGAAATTTTGAGCCAAGTAAGAAACTTCTAGACGCTAAAATTTTTGAGCCAAGTAAGAAACTTCTAGACGCTTAGGCGCCAAAGATCTCTATTTTTTCCCCTTTCTGAGCTAAATTCATCACAGTAGGATGAATGTTTAACGCAAATTTGAAAATAGGTCAACGCACTGAGTAGAGAGTTAAAGCAAAATATCTTGGATGTGTCACAACAAAATTCGTTCATCACGTCATGAAAACTATCTCTCATTGAGAAATGATAACGATATATGCCTCTTCGCTTCGAAAAAAATATATTTTTATGATTTAAGTAAAGGAAAACACAAGGTGTTCTTGAACGGATCAGTTAATGTAAATGCAATTAACTGTACATAATAATTTGGATCATTTCTGTCTCTTTGCTAAAACTCATTTAAATTGAACGGTGTAGGAGACTGTTTGATGCAAAATTCAAAATTGAAGAGTGTATTATGTAGCATGCATCTGAGGCATATTATCCCGAAAGCGTTCTTTATATTCTTTGTTTATTGAAAGATGATAACGTCCGAGTCGGTTTGTTAATAAATTTTGAGCCATGCAAGAAATTTGTTAAAAACCTTATGAAGCGGTAAAACTTTGCAGAAAAACACACGAATAGCTGTC